CCGTCGAGCGATTAATACCCATTCTTATTGCTACGGCGCTCTGACTCAATCCCGCCTCTAGCAGGGCCACAATTTGAGCAGATTGGATTTCAGTAAGCCGAGGCATTTTTAGTAAGAAAATAAAATTCTGTGCTTTTCTGTATTTTTTTATTAGTATTCACTCTGCATAATAAAATTAATGTTCAATACGGATCCTTCCCCATAATGAGGTTTCAGCATTTGATTCTATCGCGATATTCGTTAAAAACGCCCGAATAACTTCAAAATGGCATTACTCGGTTAAAAAAAAATCGTAGAGACTCGAATTTTTTTTCAAATTGTTTGTTGAAAAGTGCACTTTACAATGATCTATGTGGTATTTTCGAAAAAAAATCGGGGCAATCCAGGTAGCGCGTCAAACAATCAAATTTTTTAAGAAAAAAAATACTTGGGCTTTATCATAACATGGAGATGCGGCATCGACTTGCACCTAATTTCGCATCAAGTTTTTCTTAAAGTACAGATAATTACCTACAAAATGAAAAAAAAATTGTCTTGATACGATGAAAATTGACCGAGTTATGCGCATTTGAAAAATAGCAAAATTTCAATGAAAAATTTTGTTGCGATAATTTTGTTGCGTAGTGTATATTTTTTTTATCGTTATTGATTAATCTCTACATTTAATTAATTGCAATTTTGACGAGGGTGGATTATAAATTACTACATAATGTTGAACATAATAAGTTGACACGTTTAAAAATTTTGACTGCGTATTCCAGATTTTAATTTTGACGCTTAAACTCTGGTATTAAAAATTTGTTTCAAACTATAACAATAATTTATTGTTCTTATATTTATTGTATCTACGACTGAACATTATATATGTTAAATATGTTACATACGTCAGATAGGTTAAGATCAGCAAAATAGTAAGAATGTACTGTCTTTATATTTTATATTTATTATGACTTAATGTTTATCGTTAATGCGACCTTTGTCAATTTTAAAATTTCATTAGACATACTCGTCACTCCAGATAGAATGGACGAAGTTTGAACAAAGCCATATCGATTGTATTATAAAATGTTATGTGAGTTTAGTGTGAATATTAATAGATTATCCAAGGTTTCATGATGAGATTTGGCTATCGTGTGGGTGAGTTACTCGTTATTTTAATGGTTGAGTTCAAATATCTTACATATATAAATTTAAAACAGATAACACTACAGTTTTGGCAACCTGCGAGTGACTCTACATCGGACGATCGTGAAATTTAATTTGGTTAAGAAATATGCTGATGAAGATTCCAAAGAGAATCGAAACGTTCACGATGTCAATATTTTAAATAAAGATGAGATCAACACATTACATGAAGTAACAAATTTTATTTGTGAAGATTTATTGCGCACCTTCGCTCGCGCTGATTCTCATTAGCCCATATTTAGGTTATTTTTTGTTATTTTTAAATTATGTGATCTAAAAAAAATCACATACTGATTTGGAACAATCCGTTACGTAATTTACTTGTTTTAATTACATGATTTCATTATGTAATTTTCTGATATGATTTTTTTGAGTAAAAGCCTCCCGACTTCAAACTGTTGACAACACGCGGGCTGCTTTCCGTTTCACGTGATTTCACGCATAATGCGCATGATACAATATTTATCCTTGTTATTCACCGAATGTTAAACAAGGATAAATGATGAATGCCAGAGAGAAGCCCCTCTGATCATGCGCATTATGCGTGGACGCAGCCAAGATATCCGATATCGACATTAAGGTGCCTTTACATGGCGCGGCGTTAAACGTCGAGCGTCAGAACATTTGCAGTAATATGTTTAATAATTTTACTGAAAATGAATTTAATGTACGAGATACGGTAATAGTGGAATCTTGTAGTTTACACTGTATAATGTAAATAAATATAAAGGACCCCGCACAAAATCATAGGATTTTAGCTCTCGGTGAAGTTGGCTGAAATTTTAGTATGTAATACCCAGACAGCACACAATATTTACAAAATATTTACAAAATATTTAGAAATGTTTATAAGATTTATTTTAAATATTTTGTAAATATTTTTGTGGTTTTAGATTACACAGATCATAAATATTTATTACAAATATTATGAAATA